CCACCACCAGACTCAGACTTTTTTTTTTCCCTCAGAGCTGAGGACCGAACCCAGGGCCTTGCGCTTGCTAGGCAAGCGCTCTACCACTGAGCTAAATCCCCAACCCCTCAGACAGTTTTTTAAAGGGATACTTTTAGGCCTACAAGATGGCACAGTGGATGAAGGTGCTGGTTCTGCAAGACTGATAACATGAGTTCAGTTGCCAGAAACAAAGAAAAATGGAAGGAGACAACTGACTCCACAAAGTCCTCTGACAACCACCTCCATCATGCACAAACACACATAAATGCCGAGACACACACAAATAATAAGTAAGAAAAATTAAAGCTACTTTTGAGAGTCTGGAGAGCTGGTTCAGCAATTAAGCATACTGGCTGTGGTGCACACCTTTAATCCCAGCACTTGGGAGGCAGAGGCAGGTGGATCTCTGAGAGTTTGAGCCTAGCCTGGTCTACAGAGTTTGTTCCAGGACAGGCTCCAAAGCTACAGAGAAACCCTATCTCGAAAAACCAAAAAAGAATACTGGCTACTACTCTTCCAGAGGACCTGGGTCCAATTCCTAGCACCTACATGGCAGCTCACAACTGTCAGTAATTCTATTCCCAGGGGATCCCACTCCCTTTTCTGGTCTTCGCAGACACCATGTGTGTACTTGATGCAGACATAAATGCAGGTAAAACATCCATATACATTTAAAAAATATATAGATATTTGTTACTCTTAAAGCTGAAGAGATGGCTCAGTGGTTAAGAGCACTGGCTGTTCAAACAGAGGCCCTGGGTTTGATTCCCAGGACACACATGGTAGCTCACAACCATCTGTAACTCCAGTTCCTGGGGATCTGACTTATGCACATGGTACATTTAATATACATTCAGGCAAATAGTCATATACATAAAATAAATAAATAAAAGCTACTTTCAACTCACTACAATCAAATTTCTAAACTTATGCGTAAGCCATTATTGAAATTGTACAATTTTTTTTTTTTTTTTTTTTTTTTTTGGTTTCTCTGTGTAGCTTTGCGCCTTTCCTGGAACTCACTTTGTAGACCAGGCTGGCCTCAAACTCACAGAGATCCGCCTGCCTCTGCCTCCCAAGTGCTGGGATTAAAGGCGTATGCCACCACTGCCGCCCGGCACTAAACTGTGTAATTTGTTAACTACACATCAAAGTGTTTGTTTAGAATTTCCCATTTTTCCTTTACTCTTCTACTTTATATCAACAGGAAAATAGTTCCCAAATCAGGACAAAACCTTAGAAGTCACAGGCTTCCACCTTTCAGACTGAAATGAAATCTAAACTTTTTCACAGTTTTTTTCCCTTTTTTTGTTTTTTTTTCGAGACAGGTTGTCACTATATAGCCCTGCTGTCCTGGAACTCACTCTGTAGACCAGGCTGGCCTCAAACTCAGTGATCTGCCACCACCACCTGGCCTTTTCATTGTTTTGACACAGGGTTCCACTAAGTTGCCCAGCATAGCTTTTAGCCTCTGTTCTGCACAGACAGGGTGACAGTTGTGAACCCTAGAACCTTAGGAGAACTGAGTTGTCAGCAGATGTGCACAGCTGCACAGGAAACTCCAGCCCATCTCTCTACTTCAAAAGTTCAATAGCAGTTGGTTGTGGGGCACAGGACTTTAATCCTAGCACTCAGGAGGCAGAGCCTGGTGGATCCCTATGAACTGGAGGCCAGCCTGATCTACACAGTTAGAGCCTGTCTTAAGGGACAAAAAGTTTCAAAAGGACAAGATCTGACAAACTAAATAGACTAAACCATTCCTCAGTCAACACCCCAGAAACCCTGGAGGCTAAGCACCAAGGGAAACTTACCTAGCCCCTCAGTCCCTCTCAAGACCTGAGAGGCAGGACTTGGGACTAAGCTCTTCACACTCCATTCACAAAGCAACCCACACTCATGGATACGAGCTGAGAAACAGAACCAGTTTTGAAATAACAAGGCTTCAGTGACCCACAGTGGATAGGAAAGTACTCAGGCACCACATCCAGGTGTGAGGGTCATGCCTCTAGTCCTGAACTCAGAAAGGTAAGATAGATCACTCTGAGTTCAAGGCCAGGCCAGCCTGGGCTACATAGTTAAGTTCCAGATCATCTTGAGAGCCTGTCACAAACAATAAAAACTTCACACTACCCACTGTTGGTCTTTTGGAGATTTTTCTCCCAGTTTTTTATATACATATAGTCATAATCAAATCACACAGCAACACCAGGTAGTGGTGGCCCACACCTTTTTACTCCTAGCACTCAGGAGTCAGAGGCAGGCAGATCTCTGTGAGTTCAAGGCTAGCCTGGTCTACAGAAGGAGTTCTAGGATAGCCAGGGCTACACGGAGACCCTGGCTTGAGAAAACAAAGAATCATCAATATCAGTGTTGGAGAGCCCTGAAGAGTTAAAACCATTGGCTCCTTCTTCCCAGACAATACCTTGATTTTACTAAGTTTTTCTGTACAAGGCTGCTCTGAAAAATCTTTAACTTTAGCAGCATTTTGATACATATATTTAAACCGACATGTCATTTAATGCATTGTTTCCTAAGCAACCCAGTATTTGGCCTTATAACAGTAGGTCAGCCTAGACAGCACGTGAGACCCAGGTTCCAACAGAAGCTCTGCAGAGCTGGAGAGCAGGAGCAGACGTGCAAAGGAGGTTGTTTTCTCAGACACTGCTGACCGTGGGGACCCGATAGGCAGCACTTAATTTGGAGCAGAGGCTGCTAAGGAAGGCGCCGATTAGATGAAGCCTGCTGAATGAAGTAGTAAGGAGACCGAAAGGAGTGCCTCAGGCTGCGTACAAAACCTGGAAAGAAGTACAGACACATCCAGTAACCCAGGACGGACCAGGTGCCTGGGTCTAACCTCATTTCACTTAGTCTGACACTACAGAAGGAGGTCCTGCCAGAAAAAGAAAAGCATCTAAATGTGTAGCTGCCACGGACTGATCTTTGCTACTGTTTGCTGAGATAGAGACAAGCAAACCACACCCAGCCCCAGGTGGCTCTAAGCTCCACCTGTATGAGTTCATGGAACCCTCACAGCAACCTGGCCTGTGGCTGTTCTCCGTGAACTGCACAATGAGGCAGAGCTGAGCCTCACACAGTTGACGTGACCATGAGACTGACCCCTTAACCACCTTGCTGACTGCTAACTACGCTTTAAGTGAGCTCAAGGAAAATACAAGTAGCACAAATAGGTACCTGTGAGGCTGCTGAGGGTGTGCCACGCAGCATCTGTCAGGCCACACAAAACCACGTTACTAAAAGAAAACAAGAGTCAGGTGTGGTGGCACACACCGTAAATCCTAGGAATCAGGTGGCAGAGGCAGGCGGATCTTTAGGAGTCTGGAGCCAGTTTGGTCTAGATAGCAAATTCCAGGCCAGCCAAGCAAGGATACATATCCAGACACAGAGATAGAGACATAGACAGAGAGAGAGAGAGAGAGAGAGAGAGAGAGACAGACAGACAAGTAGTATCTTTAAACAAAACACTGCATATACACTTTGTATATTCATTACAAAGGATTCTTACATCAATAGTAAAATATGCGAATTTTCAATAGAAAATACAAGTATTGATCTCTGATTTTCACTCTTTAAACAGACTTTACTCACACAAATCTAAAGAAAGTATCAGGTTACCATGTACCCAATAAATAAATTAACATCAAAAGACACAGTAAATAACAAAATTAATAAAAACTAAGACTTAAAAACTAGTTAAATTTTTAATTAATAACATACCATATAAAAGGATTTAATCAACATTTTTTTTTCTAGAACACATCTACTTCCCTTCTATGAGAGTAGTTTTGTAAATAGGCCAAATTTCCGTGGGAGGGTAAGACCTGAACCTTCCCACTCCTCATCAGAAGCCGGTCTTTCAGGACTGACGGTGACCATGCAGTGTTTCAAACATTAACAGGAAACAAATGAGTCAATCCGAACATGGGAAGCAAACTGTGACATAAAAAGCAGAGACAGGGAGGAAACGTTTGGATAAACTCAAGTGTGACATGATGAAACTGTCACAGGCCTCCTTATCTTCTTTATCTCCTAAATAAACCGAGCCACCAACAGGAAAAGGTCACCACATAGAGAATGCTACGACATTTTTTACTTGCTAGTCTCCTTCCCATCTTCTCTTTCTCCTCAGCTCTCGATACTGTTGTCAAATTCTATACACTGGCAAAGACAAAAGGGGTGAAAATTGAGGTGTTTTACAGAGAAATGATAAAAAGTCTGCTGTGGTTACTACAAGGAATGAAGAGATAGCCAGCAGACCAACCAAAATGCCTGGACACATGGGCCGCCCTGAGATGGCCACGCCAATCTTTTGTCTTTCTTTTTGTGCACTGGTATTGTGCCATGGGTGTCTCGTCCTCTGGAACTGGAGCACAGACAGTTATTAGCTACCATGTGGATGTTGGGAATTGAACCCAGTCCTCTGGAAGAAAAGTCAGTGCTCTTATTCACTGAGCCATGTCTCCAGCCCTTTTTATTTTTATGGCCCATGCAAATTTTTGTTTGTTTGTTTGGTTTTTTTGTTTGTTTTTTGAGACAGGGTTTCTCTGTGTAGTTTTGGTGCCTGTCCTGGAACTCACTCTGTAGCCCATACTGGCCTTGAACTCACAGAGTTCTCCTGCCTCTGCCTCTGCCTCTGAGTATTGGGATTAACCCACTATTGCCAGTGACCCATGCAAATCTCAACAGCCATTTCAATATTGAAGAAAGGGCTCTTACAATTTAGCAGACATTCTCCCCACTTCCTTCCCAGAGGTTTTCAGAAGTAAAACCAGCTCATTTCATAAAGCCACTGAGAAACATACACTGCTTCCTTTTAGGAGTTGTCAGCTTACAGACAACATAAACAACCATCAGGCGTCTCAAACCTGCCATGAGAATCTACTTAGCTCAGCTCTCCAGCCTTCCCACATGTGGACATTTACCTGAAGCACACACAAAGAATGCAGACATTGGAAAGCCGGGAGGAGGCTACTATGGAGCTTTCTGCAAATCACAAGCTTTCCCATATTGACCCTCTGTGGCAGTCATTTTTATTAAAACTATAAAGCTATGGGGCTGGAGAGATGGCTCAGCGGTTAAGAGCACTGGCTGTTCTTCCTGAGGTCCTGAGTTCAATTCCCAGCAACCACATGGTGGCTCACAACCATCCATAATGAGATCTGGTGCCCTCTTCTGGCCTGTAAGCATGCATGTAGGCAGAACACTGTAGACATAACAAATAAATAAATAAATCTTAAAAAAAAAAAAAAAAAACTATAAAGCTTAACCTCATTCAAGTTTACAACTGGTAGTTTTCAAAATATTTAATCATGTGCAATCAGTGGGCTGGGAAGGTACCTCAGTTGGTCAAGTGCTTGTCTAGCATAAATGAGCTTGGCTAGATACCAAGGATCACATAAACCTCACATAGTAGTGCACACCTACAATCTCAGCACTCAAGTGAGGAAGATCACAAATTCAAGGTTATACTTGGTGCGATAGCAAGTTTGAGGCCACCCTAAGCTAGCTGAGACAATGCCTAAAAAGAGGGGAGAGGGTATAACAGGGTGGTGGGGGAGATGAGAGGGAGGGAGAACCACAAGACACACTGTTTGAAAACGTTTTGATGAGCCAGGCAGTGGTGGCGCACCTCTTTACTCCCAGCACTCTGAGGCAGAGGCAGGAGGATCTCTGAGTTTGAGGTTAGCCTGGGCTACAGAGTGAGTTCCAGGACAGCCGTGGCTACACAGAGAAACCCTGTCTCAAAAACCCAAAAACAAAACAAAACAAAACAACCAAAAGTTATAATGGTACTTAACACATTGTGTGCTGATTTTAAAAAATAAAAATAGCCGGGCGGTGGTGATGCATGAGAGGCAGAGCCAGGTGGATCTCTGTGAGTTCGAGGCCAGCCTGGGAAACTAAGTGAGTTCCAGGAAAGGCACAAAGTTACACAGAGAAACCCTGTCTCGG